AAAAAAAAAAAAAAAAATCAAAGCTCCAGCTACTTGGGAGGCTGAGGCAAAAGGATCACATGTTTGAGGCTAGCCACAGCAACTTACTGAGACCATGTCTCAAAAAATTTTCTTTTGTTGGTACCAGGGATTGAACTTGGGTCCTTGACCTTACAAGGCAGATGGCGGAACCACTGAGCTAAATCCCCAACCCTCAAAATTTTTGAAAAGGGCTGGAGATTTAACTCAGTAGCAAGCATGAGGTCCTGGGTTCAATACTGAAAAAAAAAAATTACTTTTTGTAGAAAATCAGGAAAATTACAAGAAAACTCAAGATCCTGTGTTTTGAGTGGCATAGGAAAAGAAAGCCAGCTAAATGAGTCTGACTCCTTGAAAAACCACATGTGCATGTATTTCTAGTCCAGGGCAGGTTTCAAGGAGAAAGGATTGGAAAAGCAGTAAGTCTCAGTAGTAAGAGGCCTCAATAATACCGAGCTACTTGGAGTCTGAAGGGTCATCTCCAAGGGGAATTGTCCAAAAATGAGAACTCTCAAATTTACATTTAAGTCCAATTTAAGTTGCTTTAAATGTCTCCATTTTTACTTCTTACGTTAAAAACTGAAGCAGTCCAAAAGCAATTGGGATTCTGGATTGGACCCTGGAACACAAAAAGGACATTAGTGCAAAGGCTGCTGGGATCTAAATAAGGTCTAGGATTAGTTCATAGTAATGTATCTGTCTTTTTTTGTTGTTTGTTTGTTGGGTTTTGTTTGTTTGTTTGTTTTGTACAGGGGATTGCACTTGTGAGGCAGGCAGTGGAACCACTAAGCTAAATCCCTAGCCCTCGGTTTCCTAATTTTGACAAATGTACCACGTCATGTAAAAAGCTACCATTCAGAGAAATAGTGAGAGCTCTGTGCTAGCACTGTAACTTTTTGTATGTTTAAAACTATTCTAAAATAGAAGATACCTTTTTTAAAACGGAAGCTGTGTCAGGCGTGGTGGCATACATCTGTAATCCCAGCACTCGGGAGGCTGAGCCAGGAGGATTGCCACAAGTTTGAGGTCAGCCTGGGTTAAATAATGAGTTCAGGGCCAGCCTGAACTACAAAAGGGAGACCTTACCTCAAAAAACAAGGGCTAGGAATTTAGCTCAGTGGCACCCCACCTGCCTCGAAAGTGTAAGGTCCCGAGTTCAATCCCCGGTACCAAAAAAAAAAGGAAGCAGTAATCTTTAAACTATGTACTATAGTGTTTGTGTTTTTTGTCTTTGTACTTAAAGGAAACAGAGTTGTATATTTAGAAACGAGACATGGTACCAGGAGAAGGTCCCAACTGGCAGTGTAAATTTAATTGGATTGATTGACTGATGGATTCTGGTGCTTGGGCTCACAGCCAGGGCTTCAAAAGCGCTCTATTTTTGAGCCACACCCTCTGCCTGGTGATGGAAATTTTAAAACTTTGTAAACGACAGCATTTTTAGTGGCAAGAGCCAGAATTTAAGAGTTGCCTAATCGGAGTCTTAATTCTAACATTTCCATATCGGGGCTATCTTAGGCAAGTTATTTAACTTTCAGAATCTGTTACTTAGCTTTCAGAATTCATTATCAAATATGAATATTTGCACCCATCATAAAACACCATAATGAAAACTATTATTGTTATTACGCTGGTGTTGGTAGAAAGAAGAAATAGATGTTGAGAATTGATCATTCTCTGGGTGATGATCATTTTTCCTATAATATCTGATTGCACACAGCAAACACCCTCCTCAGATTCATTCAGGGAAAAGAAGGAAAGGTGCATTTACTGACAAGATTCTGGTGGGAGTGAGAGATTTTAAGGAAACAGGCCTCAAAGGTCAGTTGCCAGGGATACGGTGGGCATCTGGATAAATCCAAAGATCCACTGTCCTGCCTCCTTTGTGCCTCTTGCACTCCTTTCGGCTCAATGACTAGTGACACTGCCTGGTGACGAGTCAGGGAGGTGTCGCAGGGTCGGGTTTGGGAGGAGAGGGCCACATAAGGTAAGTGTCGTATGGAGAGTCCTCCTGGGCCGTCACCTCACTGGCTTCCTTCCCGCCAGCCCCTGCTCTCACGCCTGTAGCCACAAGCTGCTTCTCACTGTCCCTTTCCGTCAGGCTGGAGTCCTCTCCTCGCCCCGCTCAGTCCCACTGTCTTCCTGTCGGCTCGCCCGAGTCAGTGGTCACAGAGCAAACCAGAGAGCACGTGAAGGTGCCCTGTCTGCCTGTAGCTCATCACGAGGAAGGGCCCCAGGGTGCAGGGGGAAAGATGCTCCACACTTTCCTGCCAGGGCCACAGGCGGCCCAGGTCCTGACGCGGCCCCGACATAAGCAGGCGACCTGGTCATGGCGGCGCTCCGTGTGCACTTGTGAGGAGAGGAGCCTGAAGTTCGCAGGAGCAGTGCCACACAGTAGAGGGCGGATTCCACACACAGGTTTGGTCTAGGACTGGGTTTGTAGCTCAGTGGTAGAGTGTCCACTTATCATGCACAAGGCCTTGAAGAAAAAAAAAGTTATCTAAATTTTTTTTTCTTTTTTCAACCAGATTCCTTTCTTGAGTTCTCCGAACTCTGGACCTTGTGCTTGTGAGGCAGGCAGCAGAACCACTGAGCGAAATCCCTGGCCTCCTCCTCACTCTTTCTCTGCCTGCTTCTGCAAGCGGCCTCTGCAGAAGCCTGTTCTTGTCTAGCTTTGGCCAAAGGGAGGCCCTGGATGGGACTAAGAGGGGGAAGCGAGCAGAGAGAAGGCCTGGCTGCCACCCCGATTCCCTCTCCCGCAGGAAAGCCTGCCATTGCTGGCCACCCCAGCTCCAGAGCGCAGGCAGGGCCGCCGCCTCCTCCTCCTCCTCCTCCTCGTCCTGGTTCCCCTGGCTCAGGGTGGCAGCTTCCTGTTTGGCTTCCCCACACTTCCCTCCCCTATATAACCGGTGCCCGTGTTAAATTCTCTCTCTCTCAACTACTTCAGTGGTCTGTTTCCTGGTTAGACACAGGCCTATTTGGACTGTTTTCTGACTTTTACTCGGAGGCATTGATTTGGGTATAGGTTATACAAAAAGACAGATGTAACCATTGGTAACCACTGAAGAATTGCTTAGTAGGGTTATTAGTGATGTCTCGGTGCCTAAAATAATTGACTTTGCAGGAGTAAGCTCTCCACTTCCAAGTCTTATTTCTTTATCTCTTATCCTTCAGGACATCATATGTCTTCATTGTGCTCTGGGAGGATTCTTAAGGCTAATCCTTTGCTCAGGGCCAACAGTAATTGTAGGATGATCACGGACTTCAGTTTCTGGAATAAATTACTGGTTGGGTTCTGAAGCACTGTTACTAGAAATAAACCCACTTTGTTAATGCTTAATCACAAGCAGTGTGGTTCTCCCTGATTCTGGTGAGGCTGAATGTTATTCTTAGGGAAGGAGCCAGTGCCAGGGCTCTGTTAGATTTTACAGACTGGGTCTGGCATGAAGAAAAGAGAGGACCGGGGATTTAGCTCAGTGGTGCAGCCTCCTGCCTCGCAAGCACAAGGTCCCAAGTTTGATCCCCAGTACCAAAAAAAAAAAGAAAGAAAGAAAAAGAAAAGCAAGAGAAAAATTTGAAACCATCATTCAGTTTGACCAAACCAGAAAGATGTAAAAATTGAAAGGAGGAGCAAAGCTGTAGCTTGTTTACCTGGAGCTTGGGCATGTGGAAGAGACAGAGCATTGTCTTGATGAAAACTGTTAAGTACCCAAACATCTTTTAAAGTATTTGAAGAAAACGTCAAGAGCGCAGGAATTTTAAGAAACAGGTCTGATGGCTATTCATTAAGACTTGGAAATAAAACTGCTAGGTGTCCACGCCTGTAATTCCAGCACTCAGAAGGTTGAGGCAGGACAGTTGCCGCTTCAAGGCCGGCCTTGACTACATAGAAATATCCTGTTTCAAAAAGCAAAACAGACAGACAGTAAAACCAAAGAGTAACTCTCACAGCTGTCTAGCTAAACGGAAGAGCTACAGTGAGACTTCATGGGTATAACCAGAGTTAACACGTGTAGTCATTTTGTTCTTGTCCCACAATAAAAAGAAATATTTTAAACACTCCTCGCTGACCCTGTCCCTCCCTGCTCTGACATTGGTTTACTTTCCAGGTCCTGTGTACCACTTTGATAAGTCGACTTCATCTTGCATCTCCACCAGCGCCCTTCTTCCAGACCCTTATGAAGCTGAGAGGTAACTCTTGCTCTGTGGTTTGAATTGTACTGCTCAGGTGAGGTTTACAGCCCTAGTGGGGACCTGTCACTCCTCTCCGCCTGGGCTGGGCTCCTCCTGGGTCCAGGCTCCTCCCTGAGGTGCCGTTTTCCTTTGCACACCCTCCAAGTAAAAACCCACGTGTTGGAGGAAGAGTGCTTTTCTCCTCACATAGAATTGCCCTATGAGGGACAGGAAAGCACAGGACAGCTCATGAGTCAGACCTGGAATGAAACTCTACGTGGAGAGACTGCTGGGCCAGTCAGCCACGTTCCCATCGTGTCCCCTTTCTTAGGACTCTGGTGCTGCCGTTGGTGCTGTAGTCACTTGCTGTCCTCCAGCGGCCATTTCACTCTCCACAGCTCTCCCCAGGCCTGCTCATGACACCTGCAACATGAGGTGATTTCATTTGTTCGGGGATGACAGGATGGAAACAAAGGAAGTAGGAAAAGCACAAAACCATCCCAGCCTATCTGTCAGTGACCCAGCTCTGATTCCGTAGTCTCACTCCCAGTGTGAGGCCCTGTTCCGTTTCCTGTCCGATCCCGAGAGTGGTGGCAACACTCTGTCCTCCGCTCTTGGTGTGGCTTCCACTGGTAGCCTGGGGTTCTTGGAGGAAAGACACCATCTGAGGTTGGACACCCTCCGCCTCACTCTGCCTTCCCGTTCCCTTTCTGCTCCCATCTGGGAAACAGGCGTCTTCCCTGGTCTGACCGACAGGGCTGGCCTCACAGTCACAGGAACGAATGGCCTCTTTTTTAACAGAAGACTCTGGCCTGGTTACAGAGGAGAAGGTCGAGCCTCTTTGTCAGCCCCAAACACAACAGTGTCTTAACTGTGGATCGATCGGTTTTGTGTAGTATTGTTAGACGATGGTTCGGCATAACAGTATCCTCAAGGCACGGTTTGCAAAAGCCAACATTTTATTTTACCCTTGTGGTTCTGCGGGTTGGCTGAGGTTCAGCCGCTTTTGAAAGAGATCGACTAGGCCCAGCTGGACTGGGCCAGACTCCAGGCTTCAAGTTGGGTTCAGGTCTGTTTCAGGTGTTTTCATGCCAAGCCTGCCCCTTGGGAGCCACAGTGGCTGCTCTGCTGAGGAGAGGAGGCTGGCAGGAGTGTAACACCTGAGACTTAGTGTGCATTCACCTCTGCCTGTGGGCTGCCAGCCGAGCGCGTCCCGAGGCCGTGAGCAAAGTCAGGAGCGCAGTGACCCCTGCTCAGCATCCCATCGCTGTGACCAAACATGGGAGAAAAGCCACCTCAGAGGGAAAGATTGGCTCACAGTTTCAGAAGTTGCAGTCCATGGTCATTTGGTTGCATTGTATCTTAGCCTTCGGTGAGACAGAACGTCACAGTGGGGTGTGCCTGCCAGGTGGGGCAAAGCTGCCCACTTCATGGCTCTCCCCAAAGGACATTTTCCTGCAGTCAGGCCCCATCTCCCTAAGTTCTCACCACCTCCCAATAGCCCAGTGAAGTGTGGATCCATCAGTAGACTAATCTATTGACAAGGAAAATGTCCCATGACCCAACACCTTCCAAAGGCCCCACCCAAAACACTGCTGTGCATTCTGCGGGGACATTTCAGACCCAAACCATAACAGGGAGGTAAACAGCACCACTCGGAGGGGGGCATCAGAGGGCTGCATGGCAGAATGGCAGGGTGTATAATTGTGTCATAGCGCAGGACTGGACTGGGAAGTGGTAATTCATGCATAAGCATGAATCCCATGTAATGAAAATGACAAGTGACCAGATCCTGCAGGGTCTTCTGCCATGGTGTCCAAAGAAATGAGAGCTTTGTTGAAGGAATGTGTGCTCTGCTATGAAATCCAATCCATAGTCATGAGTGCTGTTTTCTTAGAAATCAGTGGTTGGCAATTTTTTTCGGCAAAGGGCCACATAGTACATATTTCAGGCTTTGCAGGCCACGTGATCTCTGTCACAACTACTCAGCTTTACCTTTGTGGTACCGCAGCAGTCACAGATAGAACTGACCAGATCAGATGGCTGTGTCTCCTACACACAATTTACAAAGCTGGGAGTGGCGGCACTCACCTGTGATCCCAGCACTCAGGAGAATGAGGCAGGAGCATTGTAAGTTCGAGGCCAGCCTGGGCTACATAGTGAGACCTGTCTCACCCAACCAAACCAAAGGAAACTTAATTTACACAAGTGAAAGACCAGGGATGTAGCTCAGTGATATATCTCCTGCCTGGCAAGCACAAGGCCCTGAGTTTGATTCCCGGAACCAAAAAAAAAAA